GCCCCCGCACCGCCCCTGCCGCATCTGGTCAGGAGTACAGCTGGGACGTCCCCTTGCCATCGAGCTGAGGCGGGGTGCAGCAGGGGCTATAGGTGGGGCCCCAGGGGGTGGGAGCTGCCTCTGGGCACTGAGGGGCGGGGGAGTCCGGGACGGGAGGGTGGCAGGGGCTAAGGGGCTTTTGTGCCCCCGCCAGCCCTGGAGGTACCCGAGGAGGACCTGGACGGCCAGCTGCCCTTCGTGCGGCCCCTCCCACACGTCGCGGTGCTCCAGGACGAGCTGCCCCACCTCTTCCAAGATGACTACGTGGGGGCCCAGGAGGAGGCAGCAGCGGTGGAGGCCCGGGGCGAGCACACGCTGCTGGAGAAGTTCGGTGCGGGTGGGCCCAGCCGTGGGGGCTCTGCTGTCGGGGACGGCGGCCCAGCCGCCAGCCGCCACCCGCCCTGGGGTCTCGTTTGCACAGTGTGGTCGGGGGGGTGGGGGGGGCGGTGCTGAGCCTGGCCGGACCACGTGGGCCCTGACCTCTCTCTGCCCGTCTGCCCCCAGTGTGCCTGGACGCCTCCTTCGGCCAGGACTGCAGTCTCACCTGTGATGACTGCAGGAACGGGGCCACCTGCCTCCCGGGCCTGGACGGCTGTGACTGCCCTGAGGGCTGGACCGGGCTCATCTGCAATGAGAGTGAGGCCTCGGGGGCGGGGTCCTGCGGGCAGCCACCCTGGGCGGGGGGAGGGGGGTTGGTTCCCGGGGCCTACCTCTTGCCGCGTTCCCTCCAGGTGCAGCGTCCAGCCAGGCGCTGCTCTAGGTGCTGGGGGGCCTCGGGGACTGGCAGGGGCAAGCGGGGCGGCAGCCCAGGCGGCAGGGGGTCTGACGGGGTGCCGCCGGTGGGCGGGACCAGCCACGACCCAGGCCGCACAGCGAGTTGGTACTGGAAGTGCCCCTGAGACCTGCTGTCCCAGCCCCCACCCGGTGACCAGCCCCTCTCAGGCGCACGTGGGTGGGCGGTCTCAGGGCCGTGGTGACCGTCCCCGAGGGTTTACCTGCTGAGAGCACCGCACAGGAGGTGCACGTACTGGGGTTTAGAGGGAGGGAGTGTGGTGATCGATTAGTGATGTCTGCCGTGTGTCGTGGCCGGGCCCGGGGCACAGGTGCTTCCGAACTGGGGGGCTCACACCCCGGGAGGCGCCTCGGTGTCTCCAGAGGGCCTCCTGGGGCCACAGTGCTTCTGCGGCCGGTGACCCTGGTGCGTTGCTGTCACCGCCCGCAGCTTGTCCCCCAGACACGTTTGGGAGGAACTGTAGCTCGTCCTGCAGCTGTCAGAACGGGGGGACCTGCCACCCCGCGACGGGGGCCTGCCGCTGCCCCCCTGGCGTCTCTGGAGCCCACTGTGAGGACGGTGGGTGCAGCCCTCCTGGGGTGGAGGGGATGGGACACGGCCTCCCAGCTGGCCTCCTGGCTTTCTCTTAGCCACCTGCCTCCCGTGGGAGTGGGGAGTGGGGAGTGGGGAAGGCGGCCGTGTGGATGCGAGCTTTGCCTGGGGCCCAACTAGAGCTGATGATGAAGACTTGGCAGGAAAACAGCCCTTTCAGAATGGGTTCCCCTGGAAGATAGTGAGCTGTCTGTTCCTGGAAGCATTCAAGCAGACTCCTGGTGGCTTAGTGGGATTTGCACGAGGGAACGTGCCTGGGCCCATCATTGCATGGGACGACGCTAACGTCCTTCCTAACTGTGAAGCATCAACATTTTTTGAAGGAATTCGAGAGTGTATATAAATAAGCTTCCAAAAACGCTTTGCCTTTAAGTCTAGAGGCCTTTAAAATTCTGCTTCTTTTGCCGCGCAGAACGTAGCTAGTGCGTGAACTTCCTGCCCTAGTAAGGGGGGTAGTTTTAGTCACTGGAAGCCATCCCTGGGGCTTTGCCCCACCATTCGAGGCTTCAGGGCGTGTGTGGGCCCTGAACAGACCCACGGGGCTCCTGGCACGTGAACGGCTCGCATTGTTTGCTTTTGCTTGTGGCGTGGTGTGGCGTGGTTCCCCAGAGACCTGGGCCTCTGCTGGGGTCCTGTGGGGAGAGTGCACCAGTCCTGGGAGAGGCTGGCAGGCCAGTCCTCGGGCGGGAGGGCTCTGCGGCCCCCGCATAAGTTTCCTGGACTCCGGGCGCTCCAGGGCCCGGGGCTGCATCCCTCTAGCCTCTGCCTCCGTCTTCCCATCTCCAGCTTTCCTCTCTCTTTCCTTTTTTTATTTTTTTTTTTTATTTTTTTTTTTTCAACCTTTATTTTATTTTTGGGACAGAGAGAGACAGAGCATGAACGGGGGAGGGGCAGAGAGAGAGGGAGACACAGAATCGGAAACAGGCTCCAGGCTCTGAGCCATCAGCCCAGAGCCTGACGCGGGGCTCGAACTCACGGACCGTGAGATCGTGACCTGGCTGAAGTCGGACGCTCAACCGACTGCGCCACCCAGGCGCCCCCTCTTTTTCCTTTTAAGGACACTCAGGGGATTAGGCCACTTGGATAACCAAGGGGGGTTCTCACCTGCAGATCCTGGGGATTTAGACAGCCGGTTGGGGCTGTGTGTCCCTCCTTCCCTGAGGGCCAGAGGTTAGGCTAGGTGACCACCGAGGGACGGAAGTCAGGATGCTGTAGATGGGGATGGGGCATAGGAGATCGGGGGAGTCTCTGTGCATCCCACGCATATGCTGAAGAATGTCCTTGGCTTTGCACCCCGGGCCATCCTCCAGGCCACAGATGCTGGGGAGACGGGCCAGCCAGGGCAGATGGCCATATGTATGGCTCATCTTGTGTCTGCCCTGTCCTCATGGTGCCCTTGCCTGCCCCCCGGGCCCCTCCCTGTCTGGGGTGCAGAGTCCTCTGACTGCTGGTGGCACCAGAGCCCTCTGCCCCAGTGGCCCGGGCCACTCCTAGCTCCTGTGCTAGGCACTGGGGCCCCCGGGAGCATCTCCACGGCCTGAGGACATGTCTAGGGGGTCACTCAGCAGGCCCTGCCTCCCCCAGGCTGCCCCAAGGGCTTCTACGGCAAGCAGTGCCACAAGAAGTGCCACTGTGCCAATCGTGGCCGGTGCCATCGCCTCTATGGGGCCTGCCTCTGCGACCCGGGGCTCTACGGCCGTTTCTGCCACCTGGGTGAGTCCCCCGCCCTGGCTGCCTGCGCCCAAGGGGATGGCCGAGGGCTCCTTCTGTGCCTTGCTGCCCGTGCTGAGGCTTGGGTGTGGCGTCACCACCTGCAGATGACGATGCAGGGCTGGCGAGGCCCCCCCCGCCCCGGCTGGGATGTGGGGTCCGCCCCCGGGGCTGTGGGCTCAGAGCCTCGTCTTCTGAACTGCGCTGGCCTTCAGGGTGTCTCCCGTTACCTCCCGGCCCCACCCGGGCTAGTGGGTGGGCTGGCTTCCCTCTGAACGGGGCACGGGCTCACCTTGGCTTTTGGGGTTCCCTGGCAGCCAGGGGGAGTCCCGAGTCCCCAGCGGGGCCACCCCTCCCTGGTGGGCCATGGAGCAAAGGTGGGTGACGATGAGCCGACCTCACCGGGGAGCTCTCCACGTTCCCCTGTAGAAGGATCATTTAAAGGGGAGGAACCGGGAGTCCGAGGCTCTCCCCGCTGGGAAGTGGTGGCACCCCGGGCACGCGCCCACACTCTGCCGAGACCGTCTCTCATCTATACAACGGGCACGCGGGTCGCAGCCCCCTGGGACACCAGCGGCTGGGAGGGCAGGACCGCCTTGCGCGGCTCCCGGGGACACGTGTCAGTGAGCGGGAGCTGGAGAGCTGGGACCCAGGAGGGGCTGGCCCGTGCAGGTGGCCAGGCTCTCACGTGGGCTCTGTGGCTGCAGCCTGTCCTCCGTGGGCCTTCGGGCCGGGCTGCTCGGAGGAGTGTCAGTGCGAGCAGCGGAACACGCTTGCGTGTGACCGGAGAGACGGCAGCTGTTCCTGCAAAGCAGGCTTCAGGGGCGAGCGGTGTCAGGATGGTGAGTGCAGGGGGTGCGGAGGGGTGGGGGGAAGGGCCCCAGCCTGGCCGACCCTGCAGGCCCCTCTCTCCTTGCCCCCCTGCAGAGTGCGAGCCAGGCTTCTTCGGGCCGGGGTGCCTGCAGGCATGTGCCTGCCCTCAGGGCGTGGCCTGTGACCCCGTCAGCGGCCAGTGTGGGAAGCAGTGTCCCGCCGGCTACTGGGGGAAGGACTGTGACCAAGGTCAGTGGCCAGCCCGAGGGGCGCCCAGGGTCGGGTGGGGTGGGGGTCACCTGCCTGCGCCGGGGAACCGGGCCCCAGAAGTGACGGGAGCAGGAGGTGGAGTGAAGCCGCCACCCTGGCCCCGTGGCACTTGCACCTGCCGTGGCCCTGCCCTGGTCATGCAGAGATGACTCGGCACTGGTCTGCTGGTCCCGGTGCACCTGTCAGGGCTGCCGGGGCAGGAGTAAGTCTGTGCTTGGGGCCTGGCCCAGGGAAGGGGTCTGCCCCTCCACTGGTCAGCTAGAACGTGCTCAGTGTGCTGGGGGCTCCATCCCGGTGGGTCTAAGCCTGGGGGACCCGGGGCAGCTCTCTTGCGGTGGGTCTGAGCCTGTGGGACCCGGGGCAGCTCTGTCCCGGTGGGTCTGAGTCTGGGGGGCCCGGGGCAGCTCTGTCCTGGTGGGTCTGAGCCTACGGGACCCAGGGCAGCTCCATCCCAGTGGGTCTGAGTGTGGGACCCGGGGCAGCTCCGTCCTGGTGGGTCTGAGTCTGGGGGGCCTGGGGCAGCTCCGTCCCAGTGGGTCTGAGCCTGCGGGACCCAGGGCAGCTCCGTCCCAGTGGGTCTGAGTGTGGGACCC